AAAAAGTTCATCGCAAAACTAATTTTCAATAATTAATGAATGAAAAAATAATAAATGTACATGTCTAAGACTATTAATGATAATTAGTCTGGTATGAATGAATTATAATGTTTGTTATATTAAAATAAACATAGATAGGACAATATATGATATTGCGTAAGCGGATTAACGGTATTAAATTTAACATGACTGGAGTCCGCTATTTGTGTCTCGTATGAGTGATTATAAAAAAGCTAAATAGTTGATTAAAAAATCGGAAACTATATGAGGATTAATAAGCAGCATGTTAATAAGACTAAAAATAAATCTTCATGTACATTTGTGTATCAAGAGCAAAAAGTTTAAAGATGAACGTGTGAATGTATTTCGTAATGCACTGGAGCGAATCCATCCGTTAGTGCCGCGACTACTAAAGGAGTCGAGATAAGCTTGAGACTAGATTTTTATCTAGATCAACCCCCATTAAAAAAAAATATATGTCGAAAAATATAAAAAATATGTATTGTAAATATATTTTTAATAACTAACTTTTGGTCGATTTTCATATATATTTTAGGTATATTTTTAAATGTATAAAAAATACATTGGCCAAATATTAATTCAATGGTGTTAATTATGTGCAATTGCTACAAATTTTATAATTATTATTATTATTATTTTTTTTTCTTTTTTTTCTTTTTAATTTTAGCAATTAATATTATTTTTTGTTATGGTTTGCAATTGCTAACACATCAATGGTTTACTCATTTAACAACCTATCTATTAAATTTATAATTAATATTAATATTTATAATTAATATTGATAATATAGAATATTTATAATTAATGTAATTTTTTTTTTTTTAATTAATAGTAATACTAATATTATTATTGTATTAAATATGAAATCACTATGCTAGCTATAAGTCATCTTGTTATAAATCAAAAATTTTTCTTGTTTTTATGATCACTAACTGGACACTCGATGACTCTATTGCAATGCATCGTGGTAATTTATTGCTAGCGACAATTGGAGACAAGACTTTTGGTGAGTGTATCACGGATTTAAAGCCACAATGCAGGTTGTCGAGTCAATTGATAAAAGTTGAACATCACGATCGCCAGATCCAAACCAAAAAAAGGGAATTGAAAGCTTTGCAAAAAGCCAGTTTCTCCGAAAATTATCAGTGCTTCATCAGCTTTCTCTCGGATGAGTATATGGTTTCTAGATGGGATGCAGCTGTGAGGGGAACAGAACAGTACTGTGATCAGCCGATCAATTTCTTCATGGCTGATCACTTTTGGAACTCCAATCGCGGGTTTATTGTTCTGATTGCTGATTTTCCAACGCAAGAATTAATTGATCAAGTCAATGATAGCAACTTATTTTTTTTTTCCGGCCATCTATTAATGTGATATTAACACTGTCATTTAATTGTAATAAACATATATGCTTTTAATTATATCATTTTTATGGTAGATTATTTTTCAGAAGAAATTTTTTTCTACTTTTGATTTTAATATTTACGAAAAAGGAATTTAAGTTAAAACCAAATGGTCTGTAATTTTTGCTTTCAGCCTATACATTTTTTTTTTACGAACGATTTAAAGCCAGGTACCAAAATAAAATTATTTATGCACTTTTTTATACTATGACGATAATAAAAAAATTTATTTGATTCAAGAGAAAAAATCTTTATTCGAATAAATATTTCAAAAATTTGATCGTTTTTAATCAAGTAAACATACTTGATTCTATCAGAAAATTTTATATGTTGCTGTATGGCCTATTGTGGACTTATATATGTCTACATATTACTTTCTGACCAAAATTAGTGTGAAAAATCTCCAACAGATGGCGCATGGTCGCTAAATTGTCTCACTAGAAGAGAGTTAAGTTTGAGTTTTTAAGTTCTAAAGTAAAAATTTTTTTGTGACTTTATTAAGAAACTTATCTGGCATCAGTTTGTAGTCCAATCAATTACTAAACCAATTTTCATGTAATTCATCTTGATTGACGTCCAAATAATTGAACATATTAGGGGTGTACAAATATTCGAATAGTTTAAATAATGTGCATAATTCAAACAGTCGTTTTCTGTTGATAAACTACTAAATTACTTCGTTTTATTTTATTTGACTAAATATGAAGTCTTTATAATTATTCGATATAAAAGTCTGCTTATTATTTCAAAGTTCTAATTTGCAAATTGTCTAACTCCATTTAAGAAAATCTTTCATTTGTACGAAAAAACAATTAGTTCAAAATTTATTATCAATTTAAAAAACAATTTAATATCTAATATTTGTGACCAGATCGATCCCTATAAGGCCAAATCAGTTAAAAAAAAATATTCTACACTTCTCTTTATTATTTTTAAAATAATAAATGGCCTACAAGCTAATCTGTTATCGTAAAAAAAGTTATTAATAAATAAGACATTGAAGAAAAAATTGTCTATTGGTTATAAGTCAATAAAAACTTAATAGCACTCTGAAAGAATTAAGCGCTATTTTCGGGAACTGATCATAATTCGTGATTCTCGTGATTAAATTCTCAATTGTCAGTTAATGTTAGCCACTTGATACAGATTACACATTTCTCAATTTTTTGTTAAACAATGTGGAAGTTAGAATTTTTTATTTTAATTTTAAATTTACTTGCTGTAAATCCTATCGAAGGATGTTCTTCTAAAAAATGCAGAGAATACCATTATGGGCGTTTTACCGATCGTAGTAAATATATAACAAATTTGCGGGACGAACGGAAGTTGAACAATCTTGCGATAGTCGGAACCCACGATTCCGCTACTTACAACATAGTTGAACATCGTACCCAAGATACGGATCTTTCCAATCAACTGGTCAATGGTATACGAAGTTTCGAATTCGGCCTTCATGTTGATGAATTCAACAAATTAAAAGTTCATACAATTTTGCATGATTTGAAGATAGCATTCAAAAAAGTAATAAAGATAATAAGAGCATTTCTAATAAATAATCCCGGAGAAATTGTGTTTTCATGGTTATATTCCGTAAATTCTTCTGTAACAATCATTTGTAACGCTTTGGATGTATATCTGCGTGCTAATAATGACCTCTTCGTCAAGAATTGGTCCTTGAACGACACAATAGAGATGCATCGTGGTAAAATGTTGTTAGGAACAATCGGAGACAGGGCATTTAGTCAGTGTGTCAAGGATTTGAAACCGGAATGCAGATTGTCCACCCAAGGAAGAGTATCCATTTTTGGTGAACCTCGAATTGAGGCTAAGCAGAGAGAACTTAGAAGATCGCAAGAAGCCAGCTTTTTCGAGGATTATCAGTGCTTTATAAGTTTTTTGTCGGGTGATTACATGGATTCAAGTTACGAAATGGCTGTGAAGGGGACTAAGCAGTGTGGTGAACCGATTAATCACTTCATGGCTGTTTACTTTGATAATTCGCATCGTGGATTGATAATTCCGAGCGGCGATTTTATGACTGCGGAGCTTATTAAAAAGGTTTATCACAGCAACATGATCGATCGACTTCCATTAGAGAAAAACAGGACGAAGATTTTGTAGTTAATGAAATAATATAATTTGATCACTTTTGTTTTATCCTATGCAATATTTTTATTGATTATAAAAAATTTGATATCTTTATGTTTGATTATAAATATTCCTGTTTTGTAGACTTCTGAAATAAAAAACGTATTGTTAAAAAATATTAGTATCATGTTTTTTTCTCGATTACTTCATATTTTTTTATCGAAACAATTAAAAATCTATAAGAGGCTGCAATTGCTCAATCAAGTATTAGTACTTTTTAATAAGACTGATAGAGGATTAAAAATAAGATAAAAAAAATTCGATCAGAAATTATGTTTTGTAATTTTATATTTTTGGTTTAAGAAAAAATTTTTTCATTCAAAATACCAAAAAAAAAAAAATATTTCACTTGAAATCATTCTGAAAAGTATTTGGAGCTTATTTTTGATGACATAAAAAATAAGAAAATTTTTGATATTTTTTAAATAAGTCGTTACACTGATAAAAAAATTAATAATACAAGAGAAATATATTTTAGAGTCTAGAACATTATTTTAAGACAATTGAAACGGCAATTTTTACTGTTTGAAACTGTAATTTTTTAAGATATGAAAGAGTCGTTATTTACTATATAGTAACAGCTATTGATCACTTATTTTCGATATTAAATTATAAATTGTGGCTTTTACACTTTCTACATTAAGTTCTGTAATATATATATATATATTTATACAAAAATCGTATGTTTAGTTAAAAAAATTTTATGCCACCTATTGACAATATATTTAACAATATAATTAAAGTATATTAAATTAAAAGTTAAGATTTTTGAACATTTAGAATAATAAAAAATGAATTTTTAAATAATAAGCAACAAAACTTTTAATAGTTTTTTTGATATTTAAAATATAAATCCTTACAAAAATTTCCTCAATTGCGCGAATAATAAAAGGTTAATTTAAAATTTTCTAAAATTAAAAATAACTTTATAGTTTTAAACATATTTTATTGTATATAAGTACACAAAAAATGGATTATTTATTATCATTTATTGATAGTATAATAATAATTATCATTTTTAAAATCTTACAAACTAATTAAACTCTACTTAGATTGCTGGATAAATTTCAGTAGCTTATATAATTACGTAAAAAACAAATGTATAATTAAATAGTAAAAAGCTATGTACAAAATACACTATTTTGATTACGATAAAAATCATTTTCAATCAATTGTCTCTAATCGCTTTAAATATTTACAAATAAATCTTGCGGATAAAAAATTATGAAAATAATAAAACTTAAATTAATAATTAATATATATAAATGTATAACGTGTGCAAAAATAACTTAGGATATCACACATTGAGTAATAGTTTATTATAGTAATCATTATTTTGTTTATTATTATTATTATTATTATTATTATTGTAATTATTATTGAACGTAGAGTACGCAATGGATTAATAAAATCTAAGATGAAATTTTTCTAAGACGAAGCAAGAAGTTTTGCAGCAGAAGCTACGTGGTGTTGATGATGATAAGTCTCTTGTGCATTGTAATAACTTTGTTGGTGTTGATGCTCGCTGGTCGGTGTGTCCAGCTGGTGCTGGTGTGGGTGTTGGTAATAGGAAGAGTACGGCTGTCCGATCAACCCGTCGCAGCTGCGAGGCTCTGTTTTCACGGTCGGTATCACACCGGTAGCTAGTAAGGGGGTATGGCCGAGGTAAACAGGCCGCTCGGCCGGTACTGAGGATGAAGATTTCGTTGACTCGGATTGGTGGTGCTGTTGACTGCTCTTCAGGTCTGAAATTAATTATTTTTGTCAAATATCCTCGATTTCACGGTTAAAAAATTAATTTTTATTCCCCTCTATTGGATAGAAAGTTAATCTGGAATTTTTTTGCCAAGTGAAATTAATTTTTATCCGAAATTTATTCAAGTACAGAGTTTTTACATTAAAATAAATTTTAACAAGCTTAATATGCCAAATTTCTTGAAGAAAAATTCAAATAATTTATCTCAAGTTAAAGCTTGTAATATTAATTATATATTTTTACAAAAATTTGAATTTTAAAGTTGAAATTTTTATAATAATTATTTTGTTTTTAAGTTTTTTTGATAAAAATTAACGTGAGAGGTTAAAAATAATAAATTATTAAAATTACTACACTGAAAAAAAAAAATTAACTTGATTCGAGAGAAAAATTTTTGAACCAAGAAAATAATTTTGAAGGTAATTTTTTTTGAATCAAGTAAAATTTTCTTAAATCAAGAAAAATGTATGAGTTCAAGAATTTTTCTACTCAAATCAAGAAAATTAAGTTCTTCAAAATTATATACTTGATTCAAAAACATTTTTTTTCTGTGTACGTTTAATTAAAAAAAATTAATTACTTTTTAATGTTCTTAAAATTAACTGATTTAAGTCAACTTTTATGATTTCTTAATTAAAAAAAATTACTAATTATTTCACAGAAAATTTATCAAAAAATACTACTTGTAATATAAATAAAATTTTTTTTGGAATTAATTTTACTCCAGAGAGGTTTAATTAATTAAGAATCATTAATTCCGTAAATTTTTTACGGTAAATTTGTCATTTTAATAACAAATTTGTGAGAAGATCCTAATATAAAATAGAGATGAAATGTATGTGGCATCAAACTATTCGTAACGTGATTGGTTGAATATATCATAAGCATGAAAATATATGCAAACTCTATAGTCAAGGCGCGCGCTTGCGCGCGCGAATTCAAATTCTAGTTACGTAAAAAGCGGATAAATTCTTCAGAAGAAATGAAGTTAAAAAATTACCGTTAGATGGCGATGAAGTTGTTGAAGTAGAGGTTTCATGCTCGTTGGTAGAAGTTCTCGAAGCAGTCGAGTCTGAGGTCTTTTTTGGTTTTCTTTTCCTGGTCTGAATGCCGTCTTTGCGCATCGCAAGGGGCCGATTTACCCCGTGGAGCTTGAAATAGAGGCCGCAAGCGTTGCAAACAGGCTCCCCTTCGTTGTTGCGCCTCCAGAGGGTCGTTGTTCGTGTACCACAGTTGGTACAACAGAGACCAAGGCGTCGCGTTGCAGTCTGGAATTCAGAAATCTGTTCCATTGACAATTATTCGAGCCGCAATGTTAATCAATTATTCAGATTAATAATTAGAGAAAAAAATTAAATTTTAACAAGAAAGTCTACTTGAATAATTATTAACACAAAAATTATTTGATTTTTATAATTCTGCTCTCTATCTTCATAAAAATTTCTTCAGAGAGTCTAATTGCTCGAATTTAATGCATCAGATCGCTTAATTAGCGCGTAAAAAACTTTTCGCGTTAAATCAACAGCCTATCTCTCATAAAATTTATTTAAAAAGTGACAACACATTCGCATGATAATTAAAAAAAATATTACTTTGCACAAAAACTTTTCTTTTAAATGATTTTAGTCACGCAAAAAAAAATTGACAATTTTTTTTTTTTTTAATATTTTAATTCTAAAATATAATATTTAAATAAATAAAAAAAAAAACGTAATAAATTTTTTTTAAAATAAGTTTTATAATTATTTTTCGCGACTTTAATTACAATAAAAATTCTAGTAAAGATAATTTAAATAATTAAAAAAAATAAAATAATATTTAATACTTACAAGGCGTTTAGATGGTTTTATTAGCGGCCTGTTCATTCCATTCATCTTGTGATACAATCCACATGCATTACATAAATAATGTCCTGTACCGTCGCGTCGCCATAATGGGGTGGAAATAGCACCGCAATTAACGCACTCACGTCCCTCGGCAAATTGAAAGTCCATTGCTGTATCTGGCATACATAAATTTTAAAAATAAATAAACATTTTATTCATTATAAGCTTTAACATTTGCCGCTTAAAAATATATATTATATATATTTTAAACTCTCAACATTATCAAGTTTTCATTAATTAGCGTTTTAATCTTGGAAAAATTTATTGCACGAATTAATTAACAAAAAGTTTATTTTTTAAAACAATTTATTAAGGCTCGATAATTTTTTCATCTATTTATTGGATCTCAGAAATTATAAATAAAAATAAAAAATATTTTTTTAAATGTAGAAAAAATATTTCAATTTTTTAATTTGAGTGATCATTTGTATATTTTATTATCGAAAAAATACTTTAAATTTATCTCACGCAGAAGATTAGGTGTAATCGATTAAAACGAACGTCCAAAGTGGTGGCAATATTTCACGGTCATCTGGTAATTTTGATAGTCTATCTTTAACAAGCGGAGACTCTGCCAAGTTAAAAAATAGTAATGGTAAAATAAAATGAATTTTATATTTAAATTTATAAGAAGAATGAGAAAGTTTAAGTAAGCTATTCGAAGTTGTGGGAGCTTCTCACTTGGATGAAAATCATCTGTGCTTTTAAGTGCACGTGAAGCGATGATGCACCGGGAAAACACTCAAGAATTAGTCTTTTAAGAAACCGCTATCGTCTATAATATACAGCATAAATATAAATACATATATATTTAATGTTATGTATGTGTATTTTTAAGTACACATGGCCCCTGTGGTTAACCAAGCTTCTGTTTGGGTTTTAAAGAAATTATTTTCCCATAATTGTTTTTGACACGTATTTTAAGAGATCAAGAGTTTCTCATTAAAAAAATCTGTCAGTATTTTTTTTTTTTTAAGTAAAAAGTAAGACTTAAATATTTGAAATTGATGCACAAAATTTTTTTAATAGATTGAAGGACTAAAAACTGGTGAAAAAAATTACAGAAGATATTTATTGCGAAGGATAAAAAATAAAACATAAGTATAAAATAGTGTACTACTTGGACTACGCGAATTGATAAGATAACATGTAATTTCCTACGTACGGTGATTAGCTATCTGTTTGACTGCTGAAGGGGGAATTTGTATTATTATCTTCCATGCGGGTTCGTTTACAAAAATGAGTAATAAGCAAGTTGATTTTAACTATTTTTATTAAAGAAACAATAGACAGAATTTGTAGAGTAAAATTTTTATTTTCTTGCAGTGATAAAAAATCAACGTGACTCGACAAGAGAGAATTTTCGTTTTAAACCCTTCAGTACCCACGTTATCAGAATTTTACTCACGCAACAATATTCAACTGATAGGATGTCGCTCCAGTGCAAGTGAGACACTAAAAAGAACGTGGGTACTGAAGGGTTAATGATTGAATAATTGATTTAGATTTTATCTAAAAATATTGTCGACCCTACACTAAAAAAAAAGTTCAGGAAATTTTTTAAAGTCTAAAACAAAAGTTTTAATTTACCGTAAGGAGAAGCCCGTTGAAAGCCAGCGCTATCGTAAGCTCTCCAGGACGACATCATGGCGACGTTCTGTGCATAAAATGGCGACGTAAGAGTAGAATGCGGATGCCCGGTGTGAGGATGCGCCGCGTGTGGGTGACCGTGAGTACTATGAGCGCCCATGCTTGCCGCTGACCCACCCGTGTGTCCTGTCAGCGCATGATGAGCGTAACTATCAACTCCATGCTGCCATGAAGTTGTTTTCTCCCTGTTGATAAAAATTATTTATCATCAGATTATTTTTTATAATGATCCAACTATTATGTATTACTCATTAGATTCAATTAATTGTAATGATCTATTATTAATTTAATTGATTAAAATTTACTTGTAATTTTATTTTAGATCATATTGTGTCGAATTATTATTATTAATTTTTTTTAATCCTAATTTTTAGTAAAAAATTTTGTATTAAAAATTTATATGTTGAATATTTAACACTCAATTTTTTGGCGCAAATTTTAATTAATTGTATTTAATAAATCAATCAATTGTTAATTATTAATTTGTACAAATTTATTTTCTCTCAGTCGATTAATTTGCAAAAAAAAATTACTAAATGCGTGTCTTATTTAGTTATTAAATGAACTACTTATCGCGAAAATAATTATCGTTTATCGGTTATCGGTTATCGTTAGAAGTATGTATTTTTATTTTTTTATTTATTTACTATTATCTTAGAGAAAGTTATCGCTTATCATAAATGGAAGGGTTTATGTTGTATGTCATATTGTGTATGTTGGTTTGTACCATGCGGGTGAAGCAGAACCCGGAAACGAGTGATACTGCGCCGTGGCTGCTGGAATAGCTGGCCTAGATGATGGCACGTACACGGGAGCTTGTAATTGCTGGGTATGCTGCTGCTGTTGTTGTTGCTGTTGTTGTTGCTGCTGCTGTTGCTGTTGGGACTGGGTTTGGTAGTCGGTTCCGGCGCCGTAACCACCACTTCCGCTCCCGTGGAACATTATCCTCCCGAAATGCTACCACATCATTTGCTGCAATTTTAATTGAAAGGTTTCATTATTTTTATGTCATATTTTAGAGTTTAACGTCAAATATTTGGCAAATTTTTTGATAAAAATTTTAATTTGTTATTTTTTATTAATACTCTGTTTTAAAAAAGTCTTAAAAAAAATTTTAAAGGCTATTTTAAGATGAGCTCATAGCGACAGAGCTCCGGAACATTAAGAAGGAGCGTCTTAATAAAGTCCTAAAATTTTTGGATAATAATTTTTCAATAATTTCAAATTCAATTTGAAAAGAGCGTACTCAAAAATTTTGCGGTTAAAAACTTGCAAAAATGTCTGAAAATTAATTTTCATAACAAATTTGAGAACCAAATTTCAAAAATCTGCTCTTTGAATTTTTTTTAGCGTCTTAAAATAGTCTTGGTTTGTGTCACGTTTAAGATTTTAAACAAACGATATTTTTTAAACACTTTTAAGACGATTTTTTTACACGGGATATAATTTTGAAAAATTTCATATAATTGTTTTAAACAAAGAAAAAATAATCTTGAATCTAATAAAATATTCTTTTGGCAGTAAAAAAACTTTTTCGTTCAAAGAATTTTCTGTTTTACTTAAAACCATCAAATTGTTAAAAATTCTTTTCTTGGTTCAAGATTTTTTCTCTTGAATAAAATTATAAATTTATTATCAATGTATGTGTCTAAAGAAAGCTTAAGACTTCACCATAATAATAATGTATTTCATAAAAAGAGTGAAAGAAAAATAATTAAAATTTTTCCAATTATTTAATATTGTTTAATAACCCGGAATTAAATTAATATTCCTAAAATTTCCATGGATAAAAATTGTAGATCTTGAAATTTGTTCTTAAACATTTTCCTACCCATTTATTTTCCGAGTTAAATTATTTTTTCTGCGAATAATTACCGTAAAAATTAATCAAATAAAAAAATCAAGTTATTGTCTGTATTATTTATGGAATTAATGTGATCTTAATATGGAGATTTTTATAGACTTAAAAAGGATATAAATAAAAAGTTTAACTCGTAGCTTATCCTTCAGTGGAGAATCGTGACCTGAAGTTTACCAAGAAGAGAATATCCCGTCTCGGAGACTAAAGACCGCCATGGTGTTGGCGTTCGACCAATCCAAATGCACCCCAATGTTATTTATTGCGACATTGGGGAGAGAATACCTAACCGGGACTATAGGGGGAGGCTTGATACAAAGAAAGAGACAAAGTTACCGAGTGGCTATAATGAAAAAGCGAGCGAGGAGGAAGATAAAAGGACGAGAATAAAGATGAGGATGAGGACATATATATGTACACTCAAACTAATGTAAGACTCGACTACTCAGCTGGGAAGACGAAGAACGCAGAGCCGTCTCCACCTCCAATACTATCCGGTAGATTTTTGCTTTGCCGTGAATTAAAGATACGCGATAGCAGCCATCGCGGGCACAAATGCCAGCCGCATGTAGGCGGGACCAAAACCCATTCTTTTTACTCTTCTCCCCTTTACTTAAAGTCTTTTATTTTTCATCTCCAACATCAAAACCTCAATTACATTATCTCCGTTTGTAAAACAGGGTTACTGGCCTAATGTTACAAATTTAAATTCCCTCGTTAAAATATTTATTTTTATTGTTAATATGTATCGCCGCTGAAGAATGTCACCGGAGCTGAGCTATGCTACATCAGTTTGTATTCCTGAGGATCAAATAGCCCGCTAAAAGCTATTGAGATTGATGTCACGGTGAATTTTTCCATTGAGAAGTTAAATTGAAGGAAATGACGCACTAAGGGCGATTTTCTATTTTGGGCATTCTTTGATAAAGTTATCTTCTAATGAGGATAATTAGCCGTCAATCATTCTTATGAAGTAGCAGAAAATTATCTTATATGGTGCTTTGATTCAAAAATTAGCTTATTTCAAGGGACGACATTGATCTTTTGGTGCTAAAATTTTTCTGCTTGATTCAAGATGATAAAACTTTTAAAATTATTAATTTGATTTAAAAGTTTAGCTTTTTAAATCAGATTAATTTTTTTATCAGAAAAAATCGCAAGTGAATAAATTGTTACAGTAAAATTAAAAAATTTTGAAACTTTTGATAATTCCTTCTTAGGCATTTTTTTATTTTATTTTTCTTGAAAGTAATTTTAATTATCTAATGAAAAATCAAGAATCTATAAATTTGCTTAATGTTTGAATATTTATTTTTTTTCAACTAACCCAAATTTTTTTTTTAATTCCACTTTGAAAAATAATTCATTAATTTTTTTTTAATTTTTTTTAAAACGAAAATTGATTCTTTACTTTTTGAAGATTTTGATTTTTTTAATTTTATAATTTACACCTGCTTTAATACATTAAAAATAAATTGATAAAAATTTTTTAAACGTTATTTTATTAAATTTAATTATTAAATAAATTTTAATAATTGAAGCTTTAATATTCAGTGTATAAATAAAAAAACAATTCTACTTAGTTCAGTAATTTTTCTGCTTGATGCAAAATGATTAAATTATTTAAAACTATTTATTTGGTTTAAAATTCTTCTTTTAAATCAAATCAATTGTCTTATTAATATAATATTAAGATAGAAAAAAATTAAATTAATGTGTAAATATTTTCTGAAAATTAAATGTCAAAAAAATGAAACTTTTCCTTCAAATTAATTTAAAATAAAAAAAAATTAGCAGTCTATATTACATTTTTCATTGTTCCATTAAATCTACTAGCCGTTATAATAATTATTTAACTTACACCTAAAACATAAGTACATTAATTCATTAATAAAAAAAAAAAAAAAAAAAAAAAAAACAAAATAAAAATCATTCGAATATGTTCAACACGCACTGAACACTTGTTAAAAAGTCTACGGTTATCTGAATGAATAAAAAAAAAAAGTTCTCAGTTGACCCCGCGGCCCAATTTATTGGTATATCAAAGATTAAAAATATAATATGATTTCTCTAATCCAGTAGTGCAGGTTTTATCGTGTGTCTCACCTGCGACAAGCTTAAAACAACTTCGGTATTATACATTTATGTTACTAATATATTACTTGTACATATGTGCTGCCGTATAATCGATGACTTAGTTTTCTATGCTACTTACAACTTATAGCATATTATATTAACTTACTAATATAATGACCTAATAAATATCGTGCCCGTACATTTACCGACTCATTTTTTTGTCATTATACATTTTATAGTTACGTATTTATATATATATACCTATTTATAGCAGACTCTGATGCATTTTACAGACATAATTTTTGCTTTCTTCAAGATACCAATCTCCGTTGGTGATAAAATTTTTCTAATGGTCTCGATTGGTCAGCATTAATCAGGTTTTTTCAATTTTTATAATGAGAATCATTAACAATATTTTGATTTACCGAAGTCTGTAATAAATTAATATTTACACCTAATTTGCTGCTGAACTACATATTTATGAAAATGAGGTGTTGGGTAATTTAAAATTTTAAATTAAAAATTATCAAAGTTTTTTTAATGAAATATCTTTGCTTGTAAATGTTTATAATAAATGTAAATATTTATGGTTTAATGATAAATAAAAAAATTAAATATTGATAATAGTGATTATAAATTATCAGACATATTATGTTTTTGGTTTCTTTCAAAATTTTTTTATAATTTTTTTTTTAATTTCTTAAATTTATTTTCTCTTTGCAGATGCTATGTATTGTATAAAATCATTATTACTAAACATTCTATACATAAAAATGTAACATATTGTTTTAAATTGCCGAAGGCGTTTCTTTACAAATAAATAAATAAATTAATTAATAAAAGCTACTTACGAAATAATAATAAAAAAAAAATAAAATTTTAAGACAATTTTAAGACGATTTTTTTTTACACGGGATGTCTCAATTTTTTACCAATCATAAAAAAAAAAATAAAAATTGAAGGTTTTTCTCAGAATAACTTTATACTTTGCCTATCAACGAATTGTATTTTACAACGAATGTAATCGACTTTTTCGTAATAAAAAATTTTTATGCATCTCAAGTAAATAAAAGACAAGATCAGCCAGACGTGCAAGATAAAACTGTCATTGAAAACGACTGTCAGTCGCAATTTTGAATCTTTTGATAGTCAACCATGCATTTTCTTTATTCAACTCAATATTTTTTAGTAATATCTTTCTTAGTTTGGGTAAATTCGGGGTATTGAGCCAACATGTATCGTTCACTATATTATACATAAAAATTATGACTACGATTATCATCCATGATTTATAAACAATAATGAAAATTATCAGGTTGTGAAATGAAGTTGTGAAATACAACGAAACGTTGCAACATTTAAAAAATTTGACACTGAGTTATTTTTTATAGTCCAAGTTCCTGATAATTTTCATTATTGATTATACATACATTACTATAAAGTACAACCGGGATCTGGGACTCGTCGGCGCCAAAGACACTCCTGAATTTGCCGCCACTCGAGTCACCCTGGAAAATGTCGTCATTGTCGCAATAAACTACCCAACTGTTGCTGTGGGAACGTAACTACTAACTACTATCCAGATCTTCAATACATCTGCTAGATATACTTCATAATTATGACTTGATCATCACAAAAAAAAAGTTCGTAAATCGGATCAGAAAAAAAAATTCTTTCTTTATTATCAATTGATAATTCTCAATAGTATCAATTCTGATGAAAATAGTCATTGCTAATTTTTTTTCGATTTGCAATTTATTGAAGACAAGAGATCAAGTTATTTTATAGTTGATTTTTACTATGTTAAAAATTGGGAGTGAATTTTTACTCTCGTCATTTAAAATACTGGAGTGAAGAAATAAAACACTCCTCGTAGGAAGTATTTTTTTAACAATTTTTATTTGCTAAATTAGTCAAAAATAATTTAAAAATTTTGTCTCAAGTTTATAAATTCAAACATATTTTTCCAAAAAATTTGACTATTGAATATTGAACTAAATTTTCATAA